AAATACTGCTCTACATATATATCAGCTGACTGATTAAACTTAATTTCATCGTTTATAGCTTATAATAAACGTCTACTTCATTTGACTGTTAATAACCTGCTAGAGACCGCAGCAAACTTGGTTTTAAGGTGGATATTCGACATTTGCTCCGTTTAAACCTCTTCCTGGCTCCGGGTAAACTGCGCTCCTGTGCACCCGTATTACATACTTTACAGTAACAAAGCGGTGGTAGAAAACGGCTACACCGCGTACTGACTTCCTGTTTTCAAAATAAAAGTGTAGTTTTTTTAAGCCGAGAAGCAATCGAGTTTTATTGCTTAATTTGCATTTATCGACCTTCAAAATCCCACATCAGCCTAGTTTGAGATTATAATACATTACTGGCTTCAATAGTTACGCGTTTTATTTTCGGATTGCAAATCTTAAATTATAATGAGACTCCGCTGACTTCACCTTTTTATTATTTGGTATTTGAAATATCTAAATACGAGGTAAATATTAACATTTTATGTCGCTTCACGTTTTCAAAAAGTACCCTTTTATTTTGAAAACAGGAAGTCGTTACACGATGTAGCCGTTTTTGGCCGCCGCTTTGTTTACTGTAAAGTCTGTAATACGGGTGCACTTGAAGCACAGGAGCGGCTCTCCGATTGCATTTTATTCGGTGCAAAGAAGGTTTTTAACCGGAGCTAATAAACAGCTTTAACCGGAGCAAATGTTGGTCAAATGTCCAACTTAAAACTAACTTCAGTCCGGTTGGTTTTAGTATGAAGGGCATTTCTTCCAGAAGCACAAACAGCTGTATCCGTCACAAATCGTCCCGATAGATTTTTTAAATGTCTTTTCTCGTTTTTCTCCATTAGATGTAGGTCTGATTCAGCGGGTGGCGGTGATGCAGCAGCAGCAGCAGCAGGAGGACGCGGTGCATCGTGATCACAGCCGATGGAGGAGCGTCCTTCAGCCTGTGAGTCACGGTGCCTCTTAGCTGCTTCTTTATCACCACCATCATCATCATCAT